AGATATGTTATAACTAAGCTATGTGAATAGCCTTGTAAGGATGTATATGGATTGATGGGATACAATTAAGCTCAAGAAAAAAACCTACATTGTACAAGGTGATTGACTTGATAAAAAAATCCATAACTTTCATTATAACTATTGAATAATGCTTAAAATTTTAGTTCTGTGTTAATTGTGATTGTTGTTTTTCTTGTATTGTTTTGATCCATGTCATACAATGATTAGAAGAAATGTTCAAACTCTTTAATTTCATCACCGATCGAAACTCTCATACCAAAAAGTGCAAATCCAAACAAAATTCAACTTGACCCATGATCATTTTCTTTAGAAATGAGATCTTAACTACAACAAAACAAGCAAATCAATAAATTAATCATCAGTAATCACTGTAATTAGCCTTAATTACACTATTGACAACATCACTAAAACATAATTAAAACTTTAGTAAATAGTTTTTTTTTTTGGTTTTGGCTAAGTTTAGTGTGTGTAAAAGGAAAAAAGAGAGAGTAGGAGATGATGACAAATAATGCTATTAATATTTCTTTAATAAAAGGATAAATTAGTATTTTTAGAATTTTAATGATGCAAATATCAACCCCATCAAAAGAGGATGTTTGCTATAATATATGAAAACTGAGGTAGCAAAATGTTACCACAATTTTCTTTTTGTATATTGTAAAGTGATTAATTAGTTATCCATGATTTTCTCCTTAAGAAAAGATCGCATTTGTTAATAACAACAACATATAAAAAAGATAACATGCTATCTTTTTATGTAAAATAAACTAGTATGTGTTCAAGGAAAATTAATACTGTTTAGTATGTGTCCTTTTTCTTTTTTGAATCAACATAATTTTAAGTATTTTTATGGATTAAAAAAAAGATAAATGATGTAGTTTGTTACAAAATGATGGAATTATATTCTTACATGATTCTTTTGAAAAAACTATTTTATTTATCACATGTTTTGCATATGACTAATATGTTTATAAAATCCAGAGCCATTTTTGATATAATAGTAAATCATGTACATAAATGATTTAGTTTATTTAGATGAAAAAATTAACAAAAAAATAAAATAAAAAGTCAATTATTTTATAGGAAAAAAATTGACTATAAAGACATATTAAAAACTTATCTCAACGCATAAAAAAAGGTTAAGTTATTGCTATGAAAACATAAAATATTAAAAACATGTTGCAATATATTATATAAATCATTCAAAAAATATAACAAGTATATATAGATTAAAATAAAAATTATTACCTAAAATCATAAAATTTGAAAACTTTATTGATGTATCTTTTATGTTTGTTAGTTTATCAAGTTATTGTATCACATCCATAATTTCTATAAAAGTCATTATTTAATAAAGTAATTAGTTATTTTAATATGTAAATAAGCATTCATTACCCATATTTGAAAAACATATATATATACACACACACAAGAAAACAACACGTGTTTACATGATAGCAAAAAAAGAAACATATAAATAATAACTTCTCTTTTTTTGCTAAATGTTAATAAATAATCATAAATTTATGAAAATATTTATTTTGTATTTTTTTAATATAATAAAAATATAATTTTATCTTTTATAAAATATACATGAAAAACCTTTTGGATTTTACTGTATATAAGAAAAAAAACTTATTTTTTATTTTTTAAATGATAGATTTTTGTTATTTTTTTGGATTTTTTAAAATTCCAGAGAAAAATCAAGCATTTTTTTATCCGTATCTTGCAATGTAAGTCTACAACTCAATATTAAATGAAATTCTTGATTAAAAAAAACATATTTGTGTATTTTCTGAAATAAGGGATTTTTTTAATTTTTGATTTTTTTTCCAAAATCTCAAAGAAAAATCTAGAATTTTTAATACCAAGTTTACATCTTATAGTATAACTATATAACTCAATATTAGGTAAAATTATTGAAAAACATGTGAAGGATATAAAAATATTTTTCACATGATCCTAATTTTTTTTTTCATATTTATTTGAAAGTTTTAAGGGCCTATTTGGCTAAACCCCAAAATAAAAATAAATTAAAACTAAAAGAAAAGGCTTGTAGTGTATTTAACAAATATATTTTATGGAGCCAAATAAGGCATTATATCTTAAAGAACAATAAGGCTTGCCAAACACGCTCTTATGTCTGGGTTTGAACTTGACCCAACTAAATGGGCTAGGCCTATTAAGCTTGAGGCGCCCAACCTAACTTATTTTATTGGGCCGACAAGCATCCCAACTTATTTTGTTAGGTGACAAACAACCTAACTAATCCTTTTTTTTAAGTGGGTTAAAACCAACCCGGCCATATAAGTGACTGGTCCATTCCAATGATCAAATTGCTGGCCTCTTTGCAGAAAATAAATTATTTCACATTCTATATATTGATAGTAACAATGAATTAAAGGAGAAGAAGGAAGCTTACACGGTCCGAGTTGTCGCTGGTGGCACTACCTAGAGGATGTTGAACGTTGATGGAGCTCACAGTGGTGCATGTGGCATTGATGGGCTGGCTCATAATAGCTGTTGTGCTGGGGCGATGGCAACTATACTAGTTAAAGTTGTTGGAGAAGAAAGAAAAATAGTGATAAAGATTGTTATTTGGTTGGTGTTTTTAGGATTTTGTTTTGCTAGAAAGGGATTGTGGGTTGGTAAGGGTCTTATAAGGATGGTGTATGGCTATAATATCGGGTGAAAAGTTGTACTACAAATAGTTTAATAGCTAATTTAATTATGGCTTTGTAAATAAAAGTTTGTCTTCTCTATTTTTTTTTTAAAAAAAGTTGGTGTAAATGAGGTTTTTCCTCTCCTTTCTTACATGTAATTTATAAGCGATGAAAGAAGCGCATGAAAGGGTGTTGTGGGCATTGATTCTCCAAGGAAAGGGCTATCTATTGGCCACAAACCAATAACCTAGTCTTGCAAAACTAGGTTGTAAGGTTGACTTAGTCAGGGGATTCAAGCCTTTTTTTTATTGATTTTTTTAAGTGATAAATTGACGATTTTCAAACTAAAGGTAGTACATTGTTAAGTCACTAGGGTGCATGTTTTTTTAATTATATGGTGATGGTATGAGAGAGAGAGAGAGAGAGAGAGAGAGAGAGAGAGGTGGCATTAAAGCTGCTATTTTCAAGTTTATTGGGAAAGATGATATACAATAGCCTATTAATACGTCTTCTGGCTTTTATTTTGACTTGTTACGGATCAAAATAATATTGTTTTGAACCTAAACACATGGTTTTGGTTAAAATATAGCCAAAACACACTATTTCATTGAAATAAAATTATGTTTTGGTTTTTAGGGTAAAATTATTCTTTTTTTATTCAAGTCCTCAAACCTTCAATTATTAAAGTAACTTCTTAAATGAATTTTGATTTTAAGAATCAATTCAATTTCATCTTTGTCAGGTTTCAAAAGCATCCCTCGATTCTAACGTGTTTTTTTTATCTTAGTTGTTGGTTTTGGATATTTTCAATTTTATCTTCAATTAATCTTAAAATTTTTAATTGTTTTTTAATTTCATCCTTGTTTGCAACCAAATTCGACCTTTGAATTCGTGCTTCTTTTGCAAAAAGGTTATTGGTTTTAAATTTCTTCAATTGACCCTTAATTGATCCCTTAAACTTTAATTTTTTTACAATTTTCTCCATGATTTCACCAAATTGAGCTTAAAAAATAATTAAATTTAGTTCTTTAAAATTTTAATTTTCTCAATTAAGCTCAAATTAAACTTTCAAACTTATTTTTTTATCAATTAATTTTCTAATAAAACTAATTTGACCTATTAAAAGTGCACTTAAGTTCTTGCACTTAATTAAATATTTTAATTTGATCCAAATTAATTTTTAAACTTAATTAAACTTTTAACTGAGTTCATGATTAAATCAAATTGATATATTAAAAGTCTAATCAAGCCCCAAACTTAATTTTTATACAAATTTATCCAATAGTCATTTGATTTGACATTAAATCTACATTATCTTTCGATGTAGAATATAATAAAATATAATTAGGCTTTTAATTCTATATAAAATCCCACTGTAGTTCCTTCTTTATGCATAGTCCTTTGTAGTCTACTCTTACCAAGTTGTTAATTTTTTTTTTATTTTCATCTTTTTATTTTTTGTTGCTTTTTATTTATTAATTTTTTCTCTTTGATTTTTTTATCTATTTTCTTTTTAAAGAAGATAATATTGCTAAAATTGGATCATTGTATGTGAATTGTCGTGACTGAAATATTTAATGAAGGAACTAGGTTATCTATCTCATGGTGCTATAAGGTTATATTGTGATAATCAATTAATAATTAAAATTGTTGAGAAGCCGATATAACATTATTGAACTAAATATGTGAAAATCGATTGAAACTTTATTTGTGAAAAGTTTAAAAATAATTTTATTGCAATTCTATATATCAAGGCTACAAAACAATTTAAGGATATCTCGATAAAAGTAATCCCTAGTAAAATCTTCGACAACTCACTTACGAAGTTTAGCATTGAACATATCTCAGCATGAAACTTGAGAGGGAGTGTTGAGACGAACACTGATAGTCTTTTGTTGGTGGAAGTATACACAGTGTTAGTCAATAATTATAAGAGTCAGCCATCGCATGCAGGAAGCATGCACAATGTTAGAACAGTTGATAATTATAGTAATAAATTAAATGTCAAAAAATAAAATCATAAGAAAATCAATTACAAATTTTTTTTAAAGAAAAAGCAATTCATTAAAGGACAAATAAAAATTTAATTTGACCTATGTTTCATTTTTTTTTTAAACTGAAGCACATAAACTACTTTAATATATTGTTTTACACAATAAAATTTATAAATATAAATAAAAAAAATTATTCAAATATTTAATAATCATCTATTCTGTTGTTGCCCTTGGAGACCAATGACTATTAGATATTGTCATACAGTGGAGATCTCTCAGGGTATAGAGTTTTACTTAATAAACTAATATAAAAAACAACAACAATACCCTCATCCCAGAGCTGTGAAACTCTACTGTGCAAGTTCAAGTTCATAGTCGAATATCTCTTGATCCCAAATTCAACGCAAGGCAACCATTGTCTTCCTTAGCTGCCACTAAACAACAGGTCTGGGCCTCAAATATCTGGGCTTTAGCCCCAAACAATCTTCCGGACCCGACTTCTCGTCATTTGTGTCCAAGGGCAACAGCAGTGGCAGGGAGCAAACACCGCCGTAGTTCACGATTAGAGGCATGAAAGTCGGCGGAGGAGTGTTTTATGGAGCTCCACGCGCCACCTCATTCCTTCTCAGCCTCCGCAGACACACTACGCTACGAACTTTTTCTTGTTCTTCATTTCCTGGTAGATACCATTATTTATACAATTTTGTCGTTGCCTTTATTTCTTTGTTTTTAACAATGTAATGTTGATGAAAATTTACAGACCATATCGGTTTTATCAAAGAAGTGGCTGCAACTCAGCCTCCTAAGCATTTGTCTCATTTGTTGAGGATGTTAAAGACAAAAGGTAGATATTGTCAAGAACAAAACTTACTCACTATTCAACTCTTGAAGAACAGAACTTTAACATTCTTTGATTTTTTTTGAATTAATTGATTTATCATTTTTTTTATCAGGTTATTTGCTTTATTTGGCTTGTAACTCTTGGTTTGTTTTTGGGTTTTTCTTTTTGAGTCTTGCTAAGGATTGGCTAGGATAATGAGTGCTACTTGTTTTGTGTTTTCTTTGGTGCTTATTAACTTATGTGACAAGAGGTGCATTTCTAGTCTATAAAGTTTATATTTGCAGTAAATGTTTCTTTTTTGAGGTTGCTGAACTTCTGCTGTAAAGTTAAGTGCGCAATATCAGATGCCATTTGGAGATTTATCATTGATAGAGCCATCAACTCATATTTTCAAATAAATTGTATATATTGTGATGTGAAAAAAAAGACCTTCCTTCCCGAAAATATGCTAACAAATACCTCGTGGTGACTAACAAAGCTGGTTGACGAGGCTACAATGATGTATTTTGTTTGTGTAATAATAGCATCCTTGTTTTTGTTCAGTTTCCTTGTCATCTAAACAACCTACCCTTAAATCGTGTTGCATTAAATCCTTGGTAACAGGTGAATCTATTGTTTCTCCTAGAGCCAAGAAAGGGTTGTTCCCTCTAGCCATTCCACTGGCTAGAAACAGTTCAGGTATCGATGAATGCAAGTTGTGGGGACTTACTATTTTTAAGATTTGAGAAGCAACTAATTTTTAGCATGATACATGTGATTTATTTGTGTGAATAGATGCTGTGATTGCGCTACTCAGATGGCCAACAGCACCACCTGGGTAAGAGTCTCAAATTGTTCATGGTCTTTGTTTGTTGTTGGTTTTCTTTCCCTGCAGTTATTGTTGTCTGATGTCTCCAGGATGGAAATGCCAGTGGTTGAGGTTCGTAAACATGGAGTTTGGCTTTTGGCAAAGACTGTAAGTTGAGTATGCATGCTGTTGCTCATGGATATAACCAGTAGTCAGAACTTCCATGTGTACAGACATTTCACTAACATAATTTTTGTCATGGTACAGGTAGATCAATATATTGATCGAATCCTGGTTGAGGAAGATGCTGATATTTCTTCAGAAGGCAATGCTGATCTATTTCATGCTGCAGCTGATGCTGGAGATAATCTTTATAAAAAGGGTGACTATGCTAAGTCTCAGATTTTAGACCTAGATGTATATCTCTTAAAAAAGGTACAAATTGTACTGTAATTAGCCATAAAAACTTTTTTCTTTCTTTGATTCGATCAAGCTAATCAAATTTGAATTCCTAGTGGTGGACACTTTTGAATCCTCAAATTGATCTTCATACTCTTAATTGAATTTTAATTGTTAAAAGGTTTATTTTCAGGTAGGTTTGCTTCCTGATGTCTTAGAGCGCAAAGTGATGCTCCATTTGCAGAAAGGAGATCATGTAAGACTAGCCTGACTTTTGTTACTATTTGCAAGCAACATGGATTTGCTTGCGAGTCTGGGTGGCTAACTGTTTGCATATGCATGGTTGTAAAGGTTTCAGCTTTAGTGACTGTGGAGTTCTATACAAAGAAAAAGCATTTTCCAGGATTTGCAAGGCCTTTTGCATTCAACGCAGAGGTTATGCTGAAGTTCGTATTATTTTCTTCTATTGCTATCTCCAAAAAAAAAAAAAATGTTCTGAATTTTCATTTATTTCCTTTTTCATATCGTAAGAAGCCTCTTATACTTTCTACAGGATTGGACGTAAGTTAGAAGCTAAAGATGCTGCAAGGGGAGCTTTAAAATCACCATGGTGGACTCTGGGTTGCAGATACCAGGCATGGGCTGCTCAGATAATTTCTCTTTACCATTTTATTGTCCTGTGTTGTGTTTTCTCTTCCTTTCTTGAATTTATATTGTTGAGGTTGGAGTCCTATCCAGGATGTTGCTCAGATAGCACAATGGGAGGATGAGCAAATTGAGCATGTTAAAGAAAAAATGACTGAAGAAGGAAGGCAAGAAGACCTTAACAAGGGAAAAGAACCATCGCAGGTTTCCTTCTGTTTGGTAATGTATCTGTAAATGCTGGACTTCACTATGAAGCAAATTCATAGCGAGTGTGTTTGTTGGATCTTTGTCTTTCAAACTTGCAGATTGCATTGGATGAAGCTGCATTTTTGTTGGACTTAGCTTCTGTTGAAGGGACTTGGGATGGAGCTGTGGAACAGATAGCTGAGTGCTATAAACAGGCTGGACTTCACGATGTTGCCAGATTTATCCAATATAGAGATTGAGTGTCTAGGTTGGTATATATAATCAATCCAATATGTTTATGCTGAGTCAATTTGGATTTTGAAATCCCATTTTCAGTTTTAAATACACAGCAAATTAAATTTTGAAACAATTTAAAACTTCATATATACTGTTTGCTATACTGATGTATAAAATGTGGTGACTCTTTCAAGCTTGAGCATACAAGTGACCTCCAAATTCAAGCTTGCATCAGGATTTAGGTTACTATCCAATTAGGGATAACTACAAATCAATCCCAAATTTGTTATTGGCCCCACAAACCAGTCCTTAACCCATCTGTTTTGTCTAGACATCATTCAACTTTTCATAAACCTAACACGTGAGTCCCCAATGTTAAAACAACCACCACCTTCTTTTAAAAAACTCACACTCTTCCCCACACCACGGTCTCCCTCTCTATAACATCACCAGTATAATCCCTCACTCAAATATGGGGATTCAAATTCTCAAATTTGAAACCCTAACAAAAAATAAAAATAAAAATATGAAACAATAGTAGTCTCAGCTACTCTATTACAACCTCTGCATTTTTTTCAAAACGAGAATCTCTGAAACCTTTTTTTACCCGTATGAGAGGCTGCTACAATTTCTGGCAACTCATTTCCAGTGCCTTTATCCAGAGATTTCTTGTGGCTTCAAGGAATCAAATACAGGTAAGCCTATTGTTATTTTTAATCAATTTTGTTGGGTGATGAATTTTGGTTTAGGTTTAAATTAGAGCTATTTGGGTGATTAGAGCAAAATTTATTTTCTTTGTTTGAATAGGAGGTTTAGGATTATGATTATTGTGGCTTGATGATCTGATTGCTACTGTTGTGTTGTTGTGGCTGATGTTTTTTATTTTGCTGTCTTGTACTAGTTTTACAAGGTTTTTCTGAATTTTGATGTCTAGTGTTTTTCTCAGTTCGGTGTGTGTATCATTTGAGTCGTGTTTGCCCAAATTCTTTTTTTTTTTGTGGTGGGATTTGCTGTTGCCAATTTCTGAATCTTTCATGTCCAGTTTAATAAGCCTGTAATAATGTCTTTAAACTACTTGATCAATCTCTGCCTCTTGTGCTATTTTCTCATCAGATCTCTCTCGGTTTGGATGGTGGTGCTCTTGCTATCTTCTACTTGCCTTGTGTTTTTTCTGGTTTCATGTGCACCTGCTTCTGTTTTTGAGATGCTGGTGTTCTTATTATCTGGCTTTTGCAGACTGCCTGTCTGGTAATTCTTGTATTTTGTTTTGCATCTGTTTCTTCTTTTCCGTATTGTGAGAGTTGTATTGCTAAGCCATTTTTCTTACTGGCTGCATTTTATATACAAATTTAATTTATTAATGAGAAAAAGCTTAGGATTATTGTGTTTTGGAAAGACAGACTTGATTAATTTAGGCATTGTCCTAAGCAATGATCCCCACATAAATTAGAAGGCATTGTCGCGAAGTGCAAAACCTCGTCTGGGGACAGCCAGTTAAATGTACAGAAGGAATACACACGAAGATGCAAAAAAGATCTCTCAAAATAACAGGAGGCAGAGACCTTAATGTATTCGATCCCTAGTATGCAGAAAACTTGAGAGCTACCACCGTGGAGAACCCGTGCAACCAATTTTTATTCTATACGGACCGGGGACTGTGCAGCCAGTTAGGGGGCAAATGGAAAGGATGGTATCTTGATGCTTGATTTCTTCTTTCTCCATAGCAGCTTTCTCCACAAATTTGCACCTCCACTTTTCTTGCTAGGCACAATGGCCAAATAATTAATTGCAGCGTCGTCATCCTGGTGTTTGATTTCATTTAAATCGGGGATCTTTTCAAGAGGTTCGATCACCTTAGTGGAAATGACGGTGGGACTGGAATTGCTGTCACTTTCTTTGCGATTGATTGATTGAGTGTCCCTCACTTCAGCACTGTCCTCATTTAGCATCTGATCTAGCAAAGAGGACCTCTGGTTCTTGTTCTTGGGTGAAGGCAAGGCTTTGCTTGTGGACGTGGTGACTGCTGTGGTATTTGTGTCGGTGGATGTAGAAATGGCCTTGTCAAACAGGGCTGCTTCGCTTGGTGAAGCCATTGCCTTTAACTGCTTCCCCAGGTTTAGAATTGTCTCTTGGCACTCAGCTAACTTTTCTGAAGCAGCCGTTATCTCCAAACCCTGCAAGATTCAGGAAGTTCTTGGTTCAACAATGAGATACATTCACAAGTAATTTAGGCAATTTAAAGGTGACAAACATGAAAACTCTGATGATACAAGAAAGAATAGAGGACAACACGTAATTGGAATCAATGATTGTTCTGGCTTTTGAAAGCATAAAATGCACTGCATAATCATTGGAAAATCATGTTATTTTTACTGATAATAAAGGATCAGGGGTTGTGGAAAAAAGGGTTTTAAGAAGGGTATCTTGAGTAGTTTTGCGTGAAGTATCGGCTGGCAGATGTCAAACAATGGAAGCCAAGACGCTAGACAGTGACCCTTCAATGTAAATCCCGACAACTTTACAGCTCTTAATCTCCATGGTTAAACACGAAACTTCATCCAAGCCCAAGCCCAAGAGAATGAGCTGAAGATAATTTTCAGATGAAGTCTCATTTTTTCCCGGAGAAGAAAATGTTAAAGAGGAATCAACTGATCCCATATGCAAATGGGCTTTACTCGAACTAGGTAGAGAGTATATATTTTGTTTAAAGAGTTCAAGTGTAATTGTTAAGGAAATGCCATTCTTTATACCAACTAGCAGTTCTCCTATCCTCTATATGATTATATAAATCACAAAAAGAAGTTAATATAAAGGCAAATGAAAATAATTTGTATGTTCAAGGTGGCATGATACGAACTTACAGTCCGGAGCTGGCTCTCTTCCTGATAGAGATCCTTTTTCTTCATACTGAAAATAGCACATCAGATAGATGAGATATCTCAAGTTAGACAACATTTTGGGTCATGAAGAGTATGGAATCCTGAAATGCATGCGATATTCTATCTTTCATGTATTATGTCGATTTTATCTGATGTTGTGGGGTTACTTCATCTTCAAAAGAGGGAAATCATATAAAAATTAAATCCATTACCTTTCAAGTTGGAGCTGCAGTTCAAGACATGTAGCTTCCAATTCTTCACAGCAACTCCTTTTGTTCTCCAGTTCCATTTCCATGGAAGATAACTTCTGGTGAGCCTCATTCAATTCAGCTCTGGCCACTGTAAGCTGTGTGTCAACATCTTCTTTCTTCAGCTTATGATTTTCATTTTGGCTCTCAAACCTTGCCTTCAAACCTCTCAAAGTTTCTAAATCTGTTTGCAGGCCTCCAATGATTTTCTCAGATTCCTTTAGTTGATTCATCAAGGACTCACTGTTATTAGTAGCTGACTGGAGCCTGGCTTCCAAGTCCCTCTTTTCAGAGTCAATATTAATCAAATCCTCTCTTAACTTTCTATTCTCGTCTGTAATTGTAGATTGATGACATTCATCCTTCTCAAAGTAGCTGTGATGTCCATTTGAAGCAAGGAACTCTGCTTCGCACCCTCTCCGTGATTCATCCCAGTCAAAATGTTTCTTATCTTGAATGGAAAAGCAGTGGTTCATGGTCCAGTCCAAAGCAGAACATAATTCTTGGGAAAACATGTTCAAATCGGATTTTCCATCCAACAGATCATAACACGCATGAGCAAATTGCTGCAATACAGCAATTAGTTCAGAAGTTTTCCACTGCAAAACACGGACTATGTAGCCTGAATGCGTTTCTGTGTTCTCATAAGGCAAAAAACTCCCATCCTTTCTGGTCAAGGTCTCTGAGTTTTCATAATCAGCAAAGGATAAAGTGATCCCTTCAATAAGCTCAATAATCTTGCAGAGTGATTTGCTGAGATCTGGCTGACTGCTCTTATCTGTCGACAAGGCATCAGCTTCAGTAATTCTACCAGGTGAATCAGCCACCAAATATATAGGTTTCCATGAGGTATATCCACCAACATGAAATGAATTTAATCCATCAGAATGTGTTGAGCTTTGCCTTGTATCATCATATTCTGCAGGGCTTGCATGATTTATATTTGCCAGAGCTATTCTAACATCCTCCAGTATTTCATCAGGCTTTCTTAGCGTGACACGATTTTGCTCCAACACGACTTTCAGAATATCATGTAGCCAACCAGAAGCTTTATCTCTGGAATTGATTACCTGGTTTGATACAGTAGATCCAGACTCTGATACTGGAATGATCTCCCGACCTATTTCGTTAACATTCTCAGAAGAAACACAAGGACCTTCGAACTGTTCATCTACTGAGACTACAAGTTTTTCCATTTCAGCAAAGTCATCCATCATGGATATGTCTGAAGCTCCTTTAGTTCTGTTTGTTGGCGACCCCCTTTGCTTTCCCTGTTTGAAGTGCTCCAATTCTGAAATCAAAGCAGAAGCCCAAGATTCAGCAGAGCTAACCTTATTATCACTGCCTATCTCAGACGTTGAGGCCAGAGACAGCTCATGTGGCATAACCACGCTCCTTGTTCTGTCTAAGGTTGTCTGTCCTTTTAACAATTCATCAAGATGCGACTCAACCTGTGATAATTTGGAAGCTGTGCGAGCATACATGGCTCTTGAAAACTGGAGTTCATTTGCTTTTTTATTAAAGGCTTCCTTGAGAGTCTTGTTTTCTTCTTCCACTACACATAGCTGCTCAGTCAGAAAGTTGATCCTTTTTCTGGGAGAATCAGCAGAGTTTTCAACACCTGAGTCACCCACTAAACCCATAGGACGACCATTTAACCTTCTCCTGCTCATTTCAACTGAATCTCTTTCAAGGATTTCTACTTCACTTCTCATTTTAGCCAAGGCAGCAGGGCCGGGCAACCGCTTGCGGACCAGCACACGAAGCCTCTGACATTCTTCTTCCAACTTCGCAATTCTTTTCACACTCTCTAAGTGTTGCTTGTGTGATACATCTGCTGTTCTGCGGTTAAATTCTGTCTCCTTATTTCGGATCTCAAGCTCCTTTTCTAGCACTCGGACTTCGTATTTGAGAGAAGCACTATCTTTTTCCGTGGACTCTAACCTACTCATCAGGGCATTAAAATCTGCCTCCACCTGTGCCTTTTGCTTACTTAAATCTTCGATCAACTTTTCCTTTGCTAAGAGAGCCTTGCTTAGATGAGTATTCTCAAGACCAATTTTGGCAAGTGTTTTACTGGTCTCTGCCAGCTCCTCTTCCAAAATCATCTGGGACTTTTCAAATTCATTGGATGTCTTCATGACAGCATCATGAATCCTTTGCTCCTGATCTTCTCGAACAAAACGTAGCTGCTGCATACACTCCTTGAGGGCAGCTTCCAGATGAGTCGATCTTTGTTCCCCAGCTGCTCTTTGCTGCAAGGCTTTATCTAATTCTTGCTTTAGAGACACTGCTTTTGCTTCTGCCTCCGCCTGGTCTATTAAAAATCAATAATCATAGTGTACATAAGCTTACAGAAGACATTTGACAATGTGAATTGATAGATTGGAAAAAGAACCCTACCACTTAAATACTGAAACGGAACAATATTTAGTAATTTACCTGTCATGGCTTCCTTTGCAAGCTTGGCTTGTTTCTTTGCAAGATCATCTTTGGCATTACACTCAGACAGGGCTGATGCAAGCTTGCCACTCAAAATTTTCAGGTGATTCTCCAATTCAGCCTTATCAGCCAATAGTGTCTGTATCTGGAACATCCAAGTTTTTTAGTAATCATCCAACATAAAAATCAATTCTAAATGTATACGCGAATTTATTAGTAAAACTTCCAGCAATCAAGGACGTGCCGAACTGATTTGACTCTCTCTTCTTTGACCAGTTTTAGTGTTTCCTTGCACACATTTTTACACACTAAACCTAGAGACAACTAACTTGATTGCTCTCAATAGATGGCTAAACTAAGGCATAATCATAACACAAAAGGTTGTTAGTTCTAGCATAACTTAAAAGAGTCCCAGTGGAGGAGAAAATCTCTTCGTTGACAGGCTTTATAGGTTGAAGCAAATCATGGTTTTTAGTATTGCCGAATTGAGATCTGAAACTAGTAAGAAGGTAACTCTCTCCTCAAAGAAAGTGAGGAACTCTCCCCTCTACGGTTCTTCATCTATCCCACCCCTATCTGAAAAGGAAATCGGTGAACTAATAAAAATAGCGATTTGCCGTTGACCATCACCTGGAAGACAATGCTTCAAGCTTCAGAGACAGTAAATAATTGAGTTTTGGTTCCGAAAGTACATTTTAACACATTGTTTCAACTTTTTTTTTTTAGCCATTTGGTAAATTAGGGAAATGCCAAGTTTTTTCTAAGCTAGAAAAATGATGGATTTCGAACTCAGGTTTCCACTACCATTCAAGGAGAAGTCTGACCACCTAGGCAGGGTGGCATCTTCATTGTCTTAACCGACTTTCGTAACAGGCTTTGGTATAACAATCTGGATTTGTTGTGGTTCAAGCATCAAAACTAGCTTATTTCATGTTGAACTTCAATATAACATTGCAAGTTGTACTTATCAGAGTCATTGCAGTTATCAACCAAGAATAAATACAGTGAACAGTAAAGGCTGACCCCTCTTAATCAGATAAATCAGTGTATGACATGCAAAGCCAATTAGAATCTTTTACAAGAAAGAAGCTGACGTTCTTAGTGTCCATTGAGGATCAATTATGGAGCTTTCCCAAGAATAATTGAGTGATCTTGTGTTCCGATTTCTGATCACAAAGAACATATATTGTGGGATTGGAGAACCATTAATTGCATTAACTGATGATTCTAAGTACAGATTACATTAATATACAAAATTGAAGCTCCCAGAATTGCTGAAATTTACCTCTTCTTCGTTTGATGAAAGGTCAACTTTATGATCAGTTGCAACAACAATCTTGTCTGCAGATTTCTTCCTCCACAGCCATGTTTTATGGTCCATGACTTCACTCATAACTGCTAATACTCCAAATCACTTGAAATCAGAATGAACTGCAGCAGAAAAACAAGAGAAAGAACCATCAAACACTCTTTAACCTTTATATAAGAAACTAGAACATGTAAAAAAATAAAAAATTATCTTACCATTACAACATTTAAAATGCATGGATCATTAAAACCATGAAATGACATATTGATCAGATTTTCTTGAACAAAAATGGAATTCAAAACACGAAAGGAAACAAGTACTGAATAAAGAGAAGAGAATGCAAGACAAAAACACAATTGATATTATGATCCTACCGACAAATATAAAGAAAAGAAAACCCTCTAAGAAGAAGAGAAAGGTATACAAAACCCCACACATACACACAGCTAAGAAAGAGAGAGGGAGAGAGTAGCTATGGCAGCACTGCCTGTCACTGTGAATTGTGTAAAAGTAAAGTGAAGGAAAAGCAACGTATGTGCTATAGAGAGAAGTTTGTGTTACATGTATGCGTTCCGTGGATCATATGTTTATTACCCCCGGGTGCTGGACCACCTTTCGTATTGTATTATTATTCAGTGGAAATGTAATGGCATGCCTTTATAGTTTCAATTTATCGATTTTATGAGATATCTCTCAGCAACCTTCTTCCGCTTGAACTGTTACATAGAAGAACAACAGGCTATGCTGAAAGGATTGCTTCATTTGTAAAGTACCATAAATTTGACTCTTACATTAGTGTCGTTGAAAGGACAGAGGCTGGTTATTACTTCGATGAAACGGACCGGAAGAGCGCGGGTCTCTGTCGTTGATGTTATGCTATTTTTTGTCATTTGCTTTTTGGCTCTGCAACTCCTGCAAGTGGCAGCCTGGTCAATTTTTAAGGTAGGTAATACATGGTCTATTTGTAAGGTAGGTAATACAAGAATACGTAATATCTCATGTCTGTATCGAGGATTAAGAAACAAGCAATTAGTTGATTAAGATTAAATTAAAAAATATACTAAAAATCTCGCATTTTCACTGTAGTTAGTGATTAACTGTAACTGTAATGTCTTTTGTGAATAAATTAATGATAATTTTTTTCTAAAAATTTGTCAAAAAAAATAAAATAAGGGAAGTGTAAAATAGAAAGAAACCTACAACCACCCTCAAAGTTGCATGAAAAAGTTTTGATTAGTTCACCTACTTCCCTTCTTCCACTAAAGTCCTTTTAGTTTTTATCATTTTAATTTAATTTTTTTTAATATTTTAATTTATTAGTTTAAAAAAGAAGAGAAAAGTCACCTAAAATTAACAAAAAAAAATAAGAAAGAGTTTTTATTTGGTCATATTTAGATAATAAAAAGGATTTTATTGGACAAGAGAGTCTCATTAAGGAGTTTTTAGACTTTTATCTTGTTAGAAAAGGTGGATAAGAGTTGAGAGATATTTTTTTTTCATGGTTTATTTTTGTGTTTTTTGAGCTTTTTAGAGTTTTTTTTTTAATTGATAGAATGTTTTTTGAGATTCTAAATGTGTATATTAGGTATTTTTAGATGGTAATGAGTTGGAAATATATTTTCAAATAAAAAACTCTTAATTTCTAGCCATTTTTATAGTGATCAGATTCTAAATAAGCAAATAACATGTCATATGTTTTTTTTAATAAAACAAATGGATGAATAAATTTGAAAAAAAAAAGGCAAGGCACACTGAGCTATTTAGACTCACATGTCTTACCTTTCCTTTTTTTTTTTTTTTTGGAATTCTTCCAACTAATTTAGATGTAATTTCTTAAAAATATAATAGGTATTATTTTATTAAATTCTTACAATTTAATTGATTAAAAATATATTAGGTATTATTTTATTAAATTCTTACAATAATTTATAATTTATTTAGGTATTATTTTATTTAATACCATTAAGTTTTCACCATGTTTTCAAATAAGATTATAGATTTTTTTTTTAATATTAGGAAGCAACATTTTTGTATCACCCATCATAGTTGATTTCTTAAAAACATTTTATTTGGTTGCTTAACTATGAGTGTCAATTTCTATTATCATATAATTAAATAAAAATATATTTTTTAAAAGATATTAAACCCAGCCAAATCTATGACTTGGGTTACAATTTAGCAGGTAAACCTAGGTTGACTCATATCAAACCAACATGACATTATCTCAATATGAAAGGAAAAAAAAATGACTTCTTGAATTTCTTTTAGTCAAATTAAGTTTTGACAGATTGTTCAGCTCATCTTTAGACTATCATGTTAATAGGGATGCATGGGTTAACCCCTTCAATTTGATTTGAAACCCTGGCCACATAAGGAGCTAGGTCGGGTATCTCTAGATTGACTCATTTAATCAGGTTTAATGACATTACCAAAGAGGGGGTGATGAGACCATTTAGCTGAAAATGCTGTTGAAGATTACGAACTTTTGGATTTTGATTTCCCCGATTAAGATATATTGTCAATAGAAAAAGAAAAAGAGAAGACAGATTGGTGAACCATGTTTTTTGATGGGGTAGTGAATGTATATGGTAACGGGGCCGGTGAGGTAATAATCTCTCCTAATAAGAAACAGTATCCTGTTTCGGTTAAACTGCACTTCGAGTGCACCAACAATACAGCTGAGTATGAAGCTTGTATCCTTGGTTTAGAAGCAACATTAGAGCTAAAGATAAAGAAGATAGATGTATATGGGGACTCAATGTTGATTATCTGTCAGGTTAAAGGGGAATGGCAGACCAAGGAAGAAAAGTTAAGGCCCTACCAGGAATACCTATCCACACTAGCAAAGGAATTTGAAGAGATTAGATTCACCCATCTAGGAAGGGAGGGGAACAATTTTGCAGATGCTTTGGCCACGCTAGCTGCTATGACTACCATTGATCTCAAATACAAGGTACAACTTGTACATATTGATATTAGAAATGACCCAGCTCATTGTTGCTTAGTTGAAGGAGAAATAGACGGAAAGCCTTGGTATTACGATATCAAAAATCTTATGCAGAATCATGAATATCCGGTGGGAGCTTCTAAAACAGATAAGAAAACCTTGAGAAGGTTGGCCATAGACTTCTATTTAGATGGAGAGATTTTATACAAAAGATCATTTGATGGAACCCTGCTAAGGTGTTTGAATGAGACAACTGCTAGAAAGGCATTGTGAGAGGTCCATGAAGGGATATGCTCTACTCATGCTAGCGGGTGTATGATAGCAAGGAAGATACAAAGGGTGGGTTATTTTTGGATGACATTAGAGAAAGACTGCATCGACTATGTCAGGAAATGTCACAAGTGTAAATTTTACAGTGATAAGGTCAATACGCCGCCAGCGTCTCTATTTAATCTAATATCTCCCTGGCCATTTGCAATGTGGGGAATTGATGTGATCGGTCCTATTAACCCAAAAGCTAGCAATGGGCATAGATTCATCCTGGTGGCTATTGACTACTTCACAAAATGGGTGGAATCTAATTCGTATGCCCACGTAACACAGAAGGTAGTGAAGAGGTTTGTAGAAAAGGACTTGATTTGTCGATATGGTTCTTCAGAAAAGATAGTGACCGATAATGCACATAATTTCAATGGTAAAATTATAGTGGAGTTGTGTACCAAGTGGAAGATCAAGCATTCAAATTCCTCGCCATACCGGCCAAAAATGAATGGAGCAGTAGAAGCCGCCAACAAGGACATCAAGAAGATTATTCAGAAAATGGTAGTCACGTATAGAGATTGGCATGAGATGTTGCTATTTGCTCTCTATGTATACCGTACTACAATTCGAACCTCGACAGGGATTACCCCATATTCTCTGGTGTACGGTATGGAAGCAGTGATGCCCTTAGAAGTAGAAATTCCATTGTTAAGAGTGTTGATGGATTCCGAACTAGAGGAGGCTGAGTGGGCCAAAGTGACATATGAACAACTGAACTTGATCAGCGAAAAGAGGATAGCTGCAATATGCCATCATCAACTTTACCAGAAATGCATGACCAAGACATACGATAAAAAGGTTAGACCACGGGTGTTTCAAGAAGGGGATCTTGTGTTGAAGAAAATATTGTCGTTACCCGGAGAAGACCGAAGCAAATAGGCACCAAATTACGAGGGTCCTTACATAGTAAAGCAGGCATTCTTAGGAGGAGCACTGAAGTTGGCTAGAATGGATGGAGGAGACCTAGCTAGGCCTGTGAACTCCGACTTTGTAAAAAGATATTATGCTTGATGTAGGCTCCTAAATCAATAAAGTAAAGTTTAGCCATCGACTTCTTTCTTTTTGCATTGATCTCACAAACACTCAATTTTGCATTGGTCCTAAAAGTGCATTTTTTTAGTTATCGCATCACTCACTAAAAGGCTTATCATTGGCTGAATGAATTTCTTCTCTATATAAAAACCCAGACTAGGATCACACTTCTACACTAGGGGCAATAAGAGGTGTTTCATGAAAAGTTTTATGTATTTGAAATGGAACAAAAGCTCATAGATTTGAAAATTAAGCTAAAGCATTTGAAAAGAGCATGACAAAGAAGGCAATGACAAATCATACATCTTTGAAAAGCTACTTGTAAAAAAGGTTAAAGACTTTTTCTCAAAGATATGATAGGCGGCGTGAAAAATGAATCCAGCATACGACTTCAAAAGCAAGCTTATGTCAAGAGGGGGTGATGGGACCTATGTTTCAAAATCAGGTAAGAATGCATACATGTCATCTAATCATAAATCATTGCATGAATGTTCTTTTACACCCAGGAGGAATCCTTAATGTGCTCCAACAAGATTGTTGATGAAGAAAGAATCATTGAGTTGATGATAACAAAGAATCACGATTTTAATTTTGGAACAACAATAAAGTGAGAAGAACCTATTAGGAAATCTTCAAAAAGAAAAAATAAAAAATAAAAAAATAAAAGGTTCAAACCTTGCCATCAGGAAGAACGACATCGATATTAGCTTTGGTTAAAGGGAATTGCCTGATGGGATTCCAGGTTGACAGAGCTGCGAAAATAGATTTTTTGGGTTTTACTTAAAGGAGGTCGTTAGAAGGGATCTCATACTTCAGCTTTGGTTAAAGGGAATCGCCAGATGGGATTTCAGGTTGATTGAGTTACACATATTCATCTTTTTTGGTTAAAAGGAGATTACCAGATGGGATCTTAGGTGGCTTTGGTTTCTAGGTTAATAGAGTTGCAACAATAGATTTTTTAGTTTTGCTTAAAGGAGGTCGCCATAAGGGATCTCATACTTCAGTTTTGGTTAAAGGGAATCGCTAGATGGGATTCCAGGTTGACCGAGTTGCAAAATAGATTTTTGATTTTTGGTTAAAGGAGATCGCCAAAAGGGATCTCAAGTTAACCCACCACAATACCGATATCATCTTTGGTTAAAAGAGATCGCTATGAGGGATCTCATATTTCAGTTTTGGTCTAAGGAGGTCACCAGAAGGGATCTCATTTTCAGCTTGGGTTAAAGGGAATCGCCAGATGGGATTCTAGGTTGACCGAGTTACAAATATAGTTTCTTGGTTTTACTTAAAGGAGGTCGCCAGAAGGGATCTCATATTTCAGTCGTGTTTAAAGGAGGTCGCCAGAAGGGATCTCACACTTCAGCTTTGGTTAAAGGGAATCGCCAGATGGGATTTCAGGTTGACCGAGTTACACATATTCTTCTTTTTTGGTTAAAAGGAAATCGCCAGATCGGATCTCAGGTGACTTTGGTTAAAGGAAATCGCCAGATGGGATTCCAGGTTGACCGAGCTACAAATGTAGTTTTTTGGTTTTGGTTAAAAGAGGTCGCCAGAAGGGATCTCAGGTTAACCCAACCACAACACCAATTTCAGTTTTGATTGAAAAAAGATCGCCGGAACGGATCTAGAATGGAAGTCCAGGTTAATCTAATCAAAGTTAGAAGTCAGAGGATCACCAGAGTGAGATATCAAGATGACTATGTTTTGATCGTAGTTTCAGGTTGAAGGGGAATTGCTGTAAATATAAAGTTTCAGATCGATCAAGCTTCGACAATACCAATTTTGGAAGTTCAATTTTATTTATCTTTATAAAACTTATTACATAAAACCTCTGCTCCATAAGTATTATAAAGAGAGGGTAATTGTTGTAACCTACTTTTAGGTACCTCATAAATAAAATAATAATAATAATAATTAAAAAAAACCAGAAACACTGCCTACACTGTTCCTTCCTCCTCCCCGCATGCCGCTGCCCGAACCCCC